ATCGCGAGGGGCGACATAAGCAGGGAGGGGTTCAATAAAGTCGACAATGTCGTATTTTTGCGCCAGTTCTTGAACAAAGGCAGCTTGGATCTCTAACGGGATATGTCTGTACTGCACCTAATAGAAATCTGCCATAAGCTGGTCGCGCCTCTCCTCCCTGCTCTGCTGCCTCTGTAGCGACCACGGGTAAATCCGTACCTCCGATCTGCCACAACGTACACTACGCAATGCGTCCATCTGTTTTCTATATGTGTCGAACATGCAGAGTACCGTGAAAACTGAAGGGGGTACATGCTGAGCATGCTCCTCGACAGATCTACTAAAGATAAGTATGTCATCGAGGTACACGACAACGAACTTGTCCAAGTAGTCATGGAAGATCCTATTCATGGCGTGCTGGAATGTACCCGGCGCATTGCAAAGCCCAAAGGGCATCACCACAAACTCGTACAGACCGTACCTGGTCTGAAATGCAGTTTTGTGTTGGTCCTCTAGTCTAATGGCAATCTGATGGTAGCCGGACTTTAAGTCTATCTTTGTGTAGTACTTACATCCCTGCACCCTATCCAATAGGTCGTCGATGCGTGGTAGAGGCTCTGCATTCTTAACGGTTATGACATTGAGGCCTCTATAATCAATGCGCATCCTTAGTGTTCCCCCTTTCTTTGGAACAAACAATACTGTTGAGCCAAAGGGGGAAGTGCTAGGCCGAATCCAACCCTTCTCTGTGAGCTCTTTCAGTTGCCGCCGAAGTTCGTCCAACTCGGTTGGAGCCATCCTATAGATTCTACCCTTAGGTGTTTTACTACCTGGGATAATCTCTATGGCATGGACAATCTCCCTGTCTACGACTCCTGTAGGCTCCTCGAACAGATCTGGGTACTTAGCGATGATGGTCTCTATCTCTGGTGGTGTTTTAACGACCTCCCCTTTTGCAGAGACATAGACTAAGTACATTCCTTCCTCTCGGTTCTGTTTACAATAATTGTAAAAGGCAGATGCACATAAGCACCCATAGGAGTCTATTAACCTACTGGCTTTGTGCTTGGCCAGTCTCACGGTTCTCCCACTAGGCAACTCGTGCCTCCACACCTTCTTGTCCCAGTCGATCTGGGGCTTGGCAACCTCGAGGTAGTACATGCCCAATAACATGTCAAAGGGCAACTCGTCGCTCACCAGGAATGATATCTTATGGTTTATCTCTCCTCCAAGGTAGGAGAAGGTGCAGACTACATCTTTAATGTAGTCTTCCACCATCATGCGCTCTTTGTTGGCCAAAGTAGATGCTACCGGTCTACTAAGGCGCTGCACCCGGTCCTTTAGGCAAAGTCTGTCAACGCAGTCGCGACTTATGAAGTTTCGAGTGGAGCCAATGTCTACGAAGGCGCCGCACTTGCGACCACCCACATCAACTTCCACAACGAAATGCTCCCCTCTAGGACCTCTAGACAGTGCCACCCAGGACTCACGAGGGTCCCTTGCCGACCACTAAGGCCTCAGACACATCCAACATACAGAGTATAGTTGGGTCCGGATGCGTCTGCGGGGTGACTAAGGAGTCAATAGCTTTGGCCATCTCTTGAAACGGGGAGGGTACATCACCTACTTCAACGAGAGTAGAAGCAGCTATAACTTCTACTGGCCCTAAGTGTTTCCCGAGCTGGAGCTCGTAGAGGCCCCATATGAAGAAGAAGGAAACCCACCCTTAGGAGGGATCTTCTGCGAGACCTTCGGTTTCTTGCATTTGAACTGTGTGTGACCATACTCACTGCAGTTAATGCAAGCATCACGAGACCAACGATCCCGCCACACTTCTTGATCCAGACCTCCTCTAACCCAAGCAGCTATTTTGTTTAGGTTAGCGGCCTGCCCCTGACTCCTTTGTTGACCGCCCTTGCCGCGGCCAGCTGCCTTAGTCTTAACTACGGCGGCGAGGTTGCTACCCTCAACACTCTCCTTGCCGTCAAACTCTGAACCCTCCACAAGTTCGGAAACATCATCGATCTCGGTTTGATTTCCTTCGGAATCAACCATCATCAATCGACTACCCTTCTTCTTCCACTTTTGTGGAGTCTTCTTCTTTCTCCCATCCGTAGAAGGGGTTTGAGCTCCACCCAGCGTAGCCTCCAAGTCTAGGGCCTTCTTGCTGAATGACTCAAAAGAGTGATACTCTATGCGAGCCTCGCTGGCTAATAGATTCCTAATGTATGTGGGAAGACATCTCAGGAACATGGTCAGCAAGACCTGAGCATTGTACTCCACTCTCGGGACGACAATCAAGCGCTCTACGGCTGTGGTGAGTTCCCGCACAGACTTGTACTTTCTAGTATCAAGTTGCAAGAGCCCATCAGTGGCAATCTGTGCCTGCTGAGGGTTGTGCCAACGAGCCTCCACTAAGTCCATAAAGCTTTCTAATGTGTCGGTCGGCGCCCAATCATGCATGTTCCTGCCGAAGCCCTTTGAAGCTACCAATCCATTTAACCAGCGGGCTGTTGAACCCTTTAAGTAGGATGCAGCAGTAATCACCTCCTCTTCTACTAATGTCCTTTTTGCCCTCACCCACACTGGCACCGTTCTCAACCATGTGTCGAGAGCCTCATCCTTCTGGCGCAGCAGGCCTTCATCTGCCCTTGCTCACAGCTAGGGCCTATTTGGTTATTTGCCAGTTCGGCCTGTGGGACCAGGCCGTGTGGTTATTCAGTCCAGTCCAGTCCTGCCCGGTACCACTGTCGGTACCAGTCCAATCCAGTCCAGTCCAGTCAGTCCGCTGGGGGTATACCCCAGCTGCAGTTTGTTTTGTGACTCATTCTTCATTTGCACAGATTGGAGTACGTGCGTGTTGAGTCTGCGTTGGAGCTGCGCTGTCCCTTCCAGCTCCATCTCCATCTCCACCTCCCTCATCCTCAACCCTTCGTCTTGATCCTGACGGACTGCCATCGCGACGGGTCCGTCACACTGGTATCAGAGCAGGCTTTCCTCCCTGCTCCTCTCCCCCACCCACCCCACCTATCAGTTGCCACGCGGCTTGAGCAAAAAAAAAA